GCTTATAACGTTCGGAAATGACTAACTAACTGAAAAATCCAAGTTAATTGAATGAATCTCATAAATAAAAGTAGAGTTTCATTATATTTACGATGTTTGTATGTAAACGTTAAATTAAATTAATTCAATATCCAAAATTTTCTAAACAAAGGAGTGACTAATTCTAAAATTTTGCGACAAGGACCGACTAATTCACGATTTTTTTTATTGCAATCAGATCCAACCTAGGAATTGTGGTTTTCGAGATTAAAAAATGGTGCTCCCGGATAAAGCTTATTTTAGCTTGGACAGTAAAACACCATAATAACTTTGAAACGGCGTAACGACTGAATCTAGTTTTTAACGATTAGAACCGATTAAATCATCTTCTAAATTTCAATCAAAAATCATTTTTTAAATGTAATTCGATCTAAGCTAGTTGCGTTGTTCTCGAGATTGAATAATGGTGCCGCTGGAATAAGCTTATTAAAGCGTGGACAGTAAAACACACTTAATCACTTTTGAATGGCGGACCGACTAAATCTAGTTTTTTTTTGCGATTAAAACAGACTAATTGGCAACTTTTTACCTGACTAGTCAAATTTCAAATACTCAACCCAAGTCACGCTGGATTAAGGCACGCGAGTATTATCTCTTTTTTATTATTATTCATTTTAACATTATCGATTTTTTTTTTTCTGCAATGGTCTATGGATAGAAAATTTTTAGAAGTAAATTTTGCAATTTGAATTGGCGCGATAGGAGTAAGTAATTAAACAATATTTAAAATCTAAAGTTTATATTTGTAAATATATATCAATGAATAACACGATCTGAAATAAATTAATTTAGGTCTAGAGTTGTTCCATACAACATTCTTCAATCTTGTTCTACAATAAAATAAGACTTTATGTACTTATTTCCCAGAGAGAACAAACAGAATTAATGTAGGCTAACAAAGTTGGGTTCTATTTTTTTTAGATTAGTTACATCAGTTTTGCTAAAATATGGGCGACCCGTAAACTAAACACAGGTAGTTTAAAATAGAAGGGATGAAAAATAATGCCACTGCGTTATTCTAATAAATGAAACATATATTTTGTCAAAACACACAATCATCATTCTAAGCTTATTGAGGTACGATCTTTCAGGCAATGATAGCTACTTCAAGTAGCACATTTAAAAATATAATATTTCACTTTTCCTTACTATATATTTCATTTATACTGTAACTCTTGCATGAGTAAGAATAATTTGATTTTCACAGTCAATTTCGTTCGATTTGAAATGCATTACTTTATAATAGAGAGCTCAATGTGTACAATGCTATAAGGCTGATCAGTTTGTGATGTAGTATTTAACATTTTTGACACGAGTATAATAGTAATAAATTTTCCTTTCAATTACATTTTAAGAATATTTTTTATTCAACACGTTAACAAAAAACATCTCATTATAATATCTATACATCGTAAAATCAATCATTGGAACACATTCTGGACCTTTTTAGCATTAGGTACATTATAAAATAACATTGCCTAATCTAAAACTTCAGTAAAATATAACACACGTTCACATTCAACATTAAAAGTTATAAATAATAATAATCTAGAAAAATAATAAATAGAATTATTAATATCACAGTAGACTAGCTGTCAGCTTGGTTCTACCTTCAAACCCAATTTTTTTGTGTAAATTTTATAATTTACGACAATTTTCAAATTTAAGTGTAACGAGAACAAAAAATAAAGTAGAATCTATTAAGAAAATGAAGATACTTATAAATTGGATTAGAGCTGACAGTCTCGGTAAAAACTGCTGTGATATTGACAACTAAACGGAAATATTGTATCCGAGTAAAGAACAACATCTTAACAACATCATTTGATCATAATGTCGCAACCTTAAAAACTACTGGTAACCATTACTAAAACGACGCATCGACGCTTTACCGGCTCTAAGAAGAAATACCATATACATGTGTAATGAATTTATTTATATACTATCAGATATAAATAAACCCTAAAATGTGTGTATGTCGTTCGTTATTAAGGCAGGGAAGAACAAAATATATATAACATAACAGTTCCATACTGTAGAGCAACTTCGCAAATAAGGTGGTTATCGGTTAGGTACTCTAGGAAAGGTGGTATGTATGTACAATCTTAGCAAACGAATCCTTAACACTATACAAGAAACAATGATTCAGTGATACAAATAAAGACTTAGCTAGAATGTTTTCTTTGCAAGTGAATATAGTAAAGGTTAACAAGATCCGTAAAGTATGAGCCGAGCGGAGCAGTGTGCTTTCACAGCCAGTATGCTGGCCAACATTGGCATTTATTAACACTGAGATCTAATCAAATGCCGTCTTCTCCGCCCAGTTCAGTTTCTGTACGAAAACATTGCTCAAATTCTTATTAAAAGTACCTACTAATAAGCAGGAGACATATTTTCATAAATTAATATTGCCCACATAATACGCGATACCATATACCACTTCGTATGCAAATAATGCAAACTTTATTTACAGAACATAAAATATATTGTGATTATATAATATAATTAAGATGGACCAAATTAGAACTAATAATAATTATCGATAATTTTACATTCTCCACATGATACGATACGAAATAATAGTGCCATAAATCTATGATGATTAAGAGAAAATACACTCTAGTTTGGTAGGTTCTACTAAAGACAACTTCGAAACTTAAACCTTAATAGTACTAAACAGTGTATTTAATAGAATCTTATCCGCGAGACAATTACGTCAATAACTTTAGACGGATATCAAAATGGTTTGAATCCTTTTCATTTTCGTAGATATCCAGTTACATGTACCTATAATACGGTGAAACAGGCGCATATTTCCAGCTTTATGAAGATCTTAATTGTTTACCGTGAATGTACATATTTACAACTATGTTTAAAGAAACATAAACTGAAGTAAAGGTATTTTACAAGCATCAATAGATTCGTTTGTGAAAGTAATTACTTATTGAAATCTATTATATGCGTTGTTAGCTGTAAGGTACAAAAGACATCAACGCGCTTACATTTATTATAGTGTAAATATTTTTGGTCGGTCTTTCGACTTCGAAATAAAATACACCTACCAATTAATGTATCTGTATAAGTACGAAGGTTCGTATGCAAGTTGTACCTATGTGGGTGTAAAATATTTAAACGCTCTTTAAAAAAATTATAATCTTTTAATAATTAATATTCACAAGCACTCTATAACATTGAACCGTAAGAAATAAGACTTAGAGCTCGACTAGCGCCAAATATCAGATCACTCCCGAAACTTGAATTGGGATATCTGAATGTCGCTTTAAGTATGAGTAAAAGAATGGTGTCGTCGTCACCGCCGCCCTGAGGGAGGGCGGCGACAAGGCCGCTATGTTCTAATAAAGAGTCGACGTGTAACAGTTACGTCAAAATAAATTGTCATACAACTGCACTGCCAATGATCAACTAATAAACTTTATTTATCGACTCAATTATGCTTCTTTGTACTGATATGTATAAAATTATTTTTGTTTAATATTATGACTTTGGTGTTGAGTGCGTACAAAATTGAGCAAAATTTTGGCTAAATAAATTACGTAAAATTATTTACAAATTGCTTAATAAAAATAAAATTGTCTTTATTTAAAATAATCAAAATTCTACTTTTCCTCTACTCGATCTAAATAAAATAAGAAAACGTTATGATATTTATTTGTATATATATCTCTAATAGCTTCGAAAAAAATTGAGATCGGTTTAATGTTGTATGAAAGTAGTGTGCCCCTTCGCGGCGCGGTTGTTCCAGATCCTCGCTAACGACAATCTAACGTTGCTGCTCAGCGAAGGAAATCTCATGGGAACTTGTAAATTTCATAAAACATTCACACAAAAATATATTTCTAATTCGGAAAATTGGGGATTTTCAGAAAATACTGCTTGATGTTTTTGTGGTAATTTTGCTGCCCGAAAATAGAGAATCGAAAGTTACATGTCATGTAACTTATTGCTAACAGTAACTATATGTATATGTAATACAATTTTATTGTACCTAACATTATTAAATACTATTATTATGACTTCCAACTTAAATATCACTAAATCTATAATAAAATCTAAGCCGCAGTTAAATCTAGATCCTTACAATATGGCAGTTGTCAAATCGCTAGCTGAGTTGTTGCCTAAATCTATCATCGTGATCATTTGGTTTTGGAGCGCGGAGTTTCGATGTTTCAAACGAAAGTGTTTTTTGCAAATGACAACTTCATGATTTATTATCACAACCATTATTGCAATGAAAATATATATTTGGTAATATTTGCAGGTACATGGCGTAAAATAATTACGATAGCACAAAACAGGGCTGCCTAAGCAGAGGCTTTGAAAATATCGCACACCTATTTCATAGCCCTGTGTTTAAAACGCTGTTGAACGAATAAAGGTCATAAAAGAGCACCTTAGGTAAAACATTTGGCAAGAACAAAAAATGAGCTAAGACAAAAATATAATTTTAAAATTTATTGTTACCTTAAGTCAGATCTATGTTTTATGTACTGCGATCTCTAAAATTTCATAGAGTTGCTTTAATTACGTACTTAACTTGATTTTTTATTATTATTATCACATTTTGCAATTATAGTGTGAAAATTTTGTCAGTAGATCAAAATAGACAGCTACGAATAGTTTTCAAAAGTACGTTCGAAAACTGCGCAGGCACAAGTAGACACATAATTCAAATGTGCGTTATTAGGGTGAGAGCACCAAAAGTGGGAGACGAGAATACACACTCACAGTGCCCTCGCGAAAAGGCATGTTATAATTACGTTCTTAATTAGCACAACACTGGACACTTTATTCTTTTTGCTAATTTAATTGATCCAGCATTTTAGTATCCAGAGAGAGCATGATGTGACGTTTCACCATCAAATTGGCACGTTTCGGTTAATTTTTTTAAGTAAGTAACTGTTTTGTTATTTAAATTGTATTAAAAATATTTTACGATTTAGTTTGATATTTACATAACTTATTATGTAAGATATTATAACGAACGTTGGTAACTACTAGTGGATCAGAAATACCGCGCTGCGATGTCATTTTTACGAAACGGTTTCACTTCTTCAAGTAATAATGCACCTACATTAAAGACGCGTTTTCGTGTTACCGTACAAAATCTTCGATTTAAACGATCACATTAAGTAACAATTATATCTTTATAATAATATTTTATGTACACATCCGAACATTGCTTTAATTTTTTATAGGTATAGAATACATTTAATATAATTCATGTATGAATAATAATTATTATTTACAAATTTAATCGTCATTATAATACTTAATACTTACGAAATAATATTGCAGCTCGCAATCGCCTTCACTTGTTCTGTCTTATCCGTATATGCTACGTATTGCATATCATTCCCTTATCACATTGTCTGTTTGTTTGCGTAGACAAGTACACAAACACTTTAACAGCTTTTGTGGATGTAATGCGTAAGTGTAATCATAGTGTATAAAATACACCGTATGATTACGTCGCGGTCATATTTCGAGTATAGGCCATCCCATCGTCTTTGGAATCTCACTACTCCTTCATGGAGGGTCTTTAAGAGTTTTATTCTAGGCACTAAACGGGTAATCACAGTCTTCGTGATGTTTGTATGTAATGGGCCTTTACATCGAAAGTAATATAATGTGATGTTCCTTTCTGTCTCACTCCGATGGTTTTAGCCTTGCTTTGTTTGCCTTGATCTCGTGAAGTGGTCGTGTGGCGTGTGCAGGCACCATGCTACTTTTGTGGTTACGCACGTTGCCGGCCGCCCTAGCTGCATGGGCGACACTGAGTATTGTCTCCTTGTTCTGGTAGGACCACCTTTGTATACGACATAGATATGTTCATAAAAATTTAAGTCTAAACAAGTTTTAGTCTTTTTGTCGAATCTGAGATAACTTATAAGACTAATTCATATATTATTATTTTTTGTTATTATCTAGTAATTCAGTCAAAACATTAAAATTTAGTGATTAATATCACTGATGTATAATCCGACAGGGGCGACATATAACACGTCGAATTGTGGAATATGGTGTTCCACACTTGATATTGAATTTGTGATCACAGTGCGAAAACACCGTCCGCCCTGCGTATGCGTTGGCGCTAGCTGCATCTTGTAGGTCCTTTGGTAAAGAATTGTCGAAAATGCGGACGGAATACATTGACTTCTGTAATATCTCTCTACATGAACTCTACCAAGCCATGTCGACGTATGAAAATATACTCAGTATCAAACATGAAGAGCGCTCTCTATAGAAGCGTTTATTGGTTACAAGCAATGAGAAAGATAAAAAAATATGTTGAATGTAATCTGTCCTTCATTGTATTGCGACCGGGTCTTAGGTAACAGATATTTTCGCACTGTAACGTGTCAGTCTAATCTTAAGTCTAGGCTTACAACTAATATTCACAGTCGGCCGAGAGCGACACAAACTCCGTTTGCATGTCACAGTAAAGGCGAGTCTACTGCATTATAAAAATACGTGGGCAATGTCCATTATGCAGTCAAAATACGAGCCACAATTACTTAAAGAGCAAAAATATGTCTCCTTTACATTTCATATCCAATATATTAATAATATTTTTTTTCCATATTTGCTTACATTCGATGAAACTCTTCAATATATCCCTCGGACTATCCGAACCACGACCCGCACTCGGAATAGTTCTCGCACTAAAGGCGCATAAACAGAGCTCGCGTGTATCAGTTCATTTCATACGAGCATCTGTTGGAGAAGCAGTAGTACGCGCGCGGGGGCCAGCAAGCGGCGACGCACGCGCTAATCCCCAAAGCGCGTGCATGCCTTCTTCCACTTGCACTGGGTGCACCAGAGCTCACGCTGGTCCATGCCGTACACTTTCCGGCACTTTTTATTGTCAGAGCGTGGTCGCCGCCCTGGACTGCCCGGCGAACCGCTTGTTGCAGACAGCCTCATGTGCTTCTGTGGAAACAATTTATTTTCAAGATAAATACAGGTTCTGCAGTAATTAAAATTATTTGCATTTTTAAATTTTCGACAAAACACGAGTGTCGACGTTACCCTTACTTACCGGTGAGTGTGAATTTGACCAGGAATGCGTAACGGGAATGCTTATAGGCCTCGCGGGATGCTGCATAGAGAGCAGTCCTTGCCTGTGAAACAAATATAACTACTTTGTATTTCTCGAGGACACACGAAGCGTTCACAATGCATGCAAATCTTCAATGTCATTGATTTTATTGTATAGCTCTGTTAACCGTGAGCAGTCACTATTATATAGGTAGAATAGCATTAGTGCTTTATCGTTGATAGCTAAGTAATACAATATTATAGTTACGGTTCGAGAGTGTTTTAACTTTGGTCACGGCAAAGTGGAGTTAAGTTCAAAAAGTAATAGTTTTATATATTCGATTGTATTGGCAGCATAAGATTTCTATGTGTAACTAAAGTGTAAGAGATGCCTTACCTAAACGAGCCAACGAGTTGGCGTTGGTAATCGGGGTCCTCATACGGTGGACGACACATGTCTTGGTGGGATAGTGTCGGCGGCGGCGCCGGCACGCAAATTTCGTGCTCTGTGTAATAAAACTCTTCTTCTTGATCACTCTCGCCCTCCTTCTTTGGCCTGAAATAGAACACTCTTGCCTTTAAGAATGCAGTATGTGTATTTGTTATCTTGTAAATTGTCATGGCATTGTTTTTTTTTATCTTCTGGTTTCTTCAAACCCGGAACACTGTAATGTTCACATTACCGTTTGGCGGCTGAAAATGGCAGTACTTCTTTGGACAAATTCTCTCATTAGGAGCTCTACAAACGAATTGTTTCCCACTATGTATAGGTCTTGTGATTTAATACCTTCGGACTGTTTTCTTTGGGGCTACGTGAAAGATAAGGTCTATGCCAGTAGCCCACAATCGATTCAGACCTAAAAGATGGAATGCGTGTGGTTATTGAGGACATACAGCCGCAAATGTGCAAATTGGTGATGGAAAATTTCATGAAAAGAATATGGTCCTTCTCTTTATTCGATTTTGCTTTTAATTGGAAATCAAAATGAAACCTCTTATTGGAAGACTCTTTATAATCGACGTATGCATTGCAGTGATGTATTTTTATAAAAAATATACCATAGATCTATTTATAACGTGTTTCTTCTCATATTACATTAGCCAACAGCAACAGTAAAAAGAGACCTGGCAACGGCTAGCCAGGTTTTACAAATGCTTTTACGTCGACAAGATCATGATATTTTTTTGTGTAAATTTGATGCGAAATGATAATTTTCCTTATATTTTGTCTTCTTACACTAGGCTTACCTGTACATTAATGTATTTTCTCTTTGCAATGTTGAAGAAGGTTTCATTTTAAATGAGTTTAAAAATGCGATCAAATTTTGTATTCAGTACATGGAAACACTTTGGTCGAGTTAACATTAACAAGTTAGATTAACATTTACTATACAACAGGTAATTTATTTTGATTTTTATGAATTTGAAATGGGTCCCAACAGTAAATGTTGTTTGAATTCATTTATGTCTTAACATCGGTTAAAAATGAGGTCCTTAAACCTTGATGAGGTTCATAAGTTTCCTATGAATACGGTGTTATTTTTATAAACACATTGCAAGTATGCCTAAGGTGGACTTTGACACAAATCTACTTGAGTAGCATCATCAAACAAGGTGCTAAGTGGATCATTTGATTCAAAACTTGAGTTCACATTTTCTGTTTGGAACTCCTTGAACTTGTACCTATAATTTTAAGTTCATTATTGTCCATCATTGTTCTTTGGTATCTATACGGTGAGGTGTATGTTATCGTGAGCGTAAGCCGGAGTTACGTAAGCTGCGCGACCTTGCCAGTTGCGGCACGGGCGGGCAACCTTGTCGTGAAGCCTCGACGCTTCCGGGTCAGTACAGGCCGGCTTTTCAGCTTTAAGAGCCTAATATAAAATTGGACCAACCATGAAGTTGCTCGTAAGCTTATTGGCGTCATCAATCCAAAATAACTCCGAAATTCACCGCAAAACTTTGGTGTCACGTGATACTCGTATTATGATGATCTCGTTAGCAAAATCTGATCGTATTCTTTCAATTACCGTGAGTATATAAAGTACTTGACTCATCTACGACTTGTGATGTTGTCACGTTTTCAGTTCAATTGGTTGTTCATGTAGTTCATATAACTTTAATTATTGATTAGATCAGTTGAATCACTTGAGATATTTATCTCACAAGTACAAAGACAGAGTTTTCATTGTACTATATCACCGTGTGTGTTAAAGTTCTACGGCACATGTTTGTTATGCACTTTATATTACTATCACCGAACTGGAGATGTTTATTTTATTTTAAACTCACTATTTATATAGTTAGGAACTCAATGTAAAATGTTTGTATCACACTGCACTCGCCAGCTGGCGTGCTGCGCAATTACGTTTCATGTGCATTAAAATACACGTGACTAGATGGCACGTGCCTACTGCAATACATATATTACGTATTTGTCTTTGCCACGATAAAATACCTAACTGCCTTATTCTTGCATAACGATGACCTTGAAGTCTCATAAGATCTGGCGTAACCTCTTGTTTCGGTAGAAATTAGTCAAGTGTGTGATTAATGATTAGGCAGTTGGTTGGTGCAGCATTAAAATTTCGATTATAGGTATTATTTTCTGAGAATTCAAGGCTATTCCACGATCTGTCATAATCGGGACTAAATATGAGATTAAAAGGATAACCGTACGTACCCCAAATGTGTATTTCTGATGTGTGTCTCGATGGCGTGACTTGTATTTGATATAGTGCTGTAGCCGCAGCCTCGCCAGGTGCAGTCAAACACAACACTATTGATCTGAAACAACACGGAAAAGTACATTAACAACCGACTCTACATTGACAATGATAGAGAATTACGTTTTATTTGAAAAGGAATTTACGTAATCGTCTCGAAAAATGCTTTTTCGTAAACAATCTGTGCTGAATAAAATTAAGCGATGATGTAGCCTAGACGGAAGCAGCTCTAGGTCGCGGCCTTGCGTTGTCGAAGCGCTGCGCCCGCGCCGCCACGCCCGCTTACTGTGCCGTAGTGCATTTCTAATCTCATTTACCAATCGCTTCGAATCAATTTTCCGCATCAGCGACTATTAACAGGGCGACGAATAAGTCTAGTTGAGATGATGAAGAGTACAAAAAAACCAAGAAACCGCTTTACCAGTAACTATTTTTTAAGTGTCAGTTGCAACGGCAAGACAATAATTGATACAGAAATGTAACTTTATAGAAAATAGGAGTCGAAACAATTTGTTAGACATTTCGAACGAAGGTTTACAAAATGTTGACAAGACGGTTTGATTTGCACGGGCGGAGTAGGGCGGAGCGCTTGCCAAAGACTCTGCAACGACCTTCTATTCAATGCCATGTTATTTTTGCTACCCGCCCGCGCCCGGGCTAGCTACTGTCCTGTTGCTAACTTGTCCAACTAAATATAGCTCTTTACAAATATACACTTGACTAATACTGAGAACGACTCCACCTTCCGTAACTCGTCATTTATTGTTTAACCAGAGATATGATTTACATTACAATTTATTGTATAAATTTCATACCATCTTCGCCCTTTTTATATGCTTACTGTATTACTACTTACTGTATTAGTACTTTCATGACGAGCTATACGCCTACACAGAAAAGGATCAATTAGGAAGTTATCATTGCGTTGTTTTATAACTCATGGACAACAATCCGGTCTACAAAGCTAAAGCTGTAGGTACTCGTAGTGAAGTTCACCACGATTTCTTAAATGTTAGAGTTGTGTATGGCATTTAAGAGAAAATGTTATAGTATGGCGACGCCAAATTCTTTAAATAGGTTAAGTATGCACAAGCTGTGGCAGGTAGTTGTGAATTTTGGCGGTTATGCGGTCTCGCCTGCGCGTAGTTGCGGACATACATCTATAATACCAAGTGCATCGAAAAGTAGGTCAGGTCACGCGAGAGGTAGGGGCGTGCGGAGTGCGGGGCGCCGCAATCTGGGTCGCAGCACCACGGCCAAGGGTGGTCTGCGAAGGTTGCGCTCCTTTGTCTCTCCAACACCTAACAGCCCAATTAAATCGACAGTATCGCTGCAACGGGACCTTAATTCCCTTGACAATATAATATGAAAAATCTTCAAGTTATCAGAGGGGCACTCCCCGTTCGTGGTTTCACCGAAATCAGCTTCCTCGGAAACTGAAAGCGGTTACAATGAAATGTTGTCATCGGATCGGTGTCAACGCGTGAATCATACGTAGCTAGCTAATGACATGATATACTGCGATAACACCTAGTTTGTAGACTTCTTGGAGTCGGAATTATTAATAGATTTTTTCGTGTTGTAATAACTGTAAGTAGACAAAGAAAAATCCTGGTAAGTTTCTCTATATGGATTCTCTATTCAGGTGGTTGTTTGTTGGTTGTCCTTCGAATCTCCCACCGGATCGATACACCGCCAGGCCATCACCCGCTCCACCGCTCTGTCATTGAGCCCCTATAGCCTTGCCGTTATTTCTGGAAACATGCCCTTAACGAAGCCTTAAGAACGTGAAATCAGAGTCTGATTGTGGGAATTAATCAAAAGTGTGACGCGTGAGTGTCAGTTCAAAATGTCCGACTACTACAATACATTTTCCTTTTCTGCGGTGAAGGACTCTCTGAAAATTGATTAGTATAATCGTGTAAACAAGTTACTTAACGTCTCTACATTAGTTGTTCTTGAATGTACCTACATGTGGTGATATATTGATATGGAGCTGCTTAGACCGTGGGATACGATAACATTCTCTAAAATACTCCAGTGGCCATGTTTCCACTCATTATCTTTGTCTGTTTTTGTAATGTGTGATGAATTGCATTTCGTTATCTGACCATCTCAAGGTGATACCGTTAAAGCTTAATTACTTACATAAATATAGGTAGTAGCTTTTCATATTGAAAATTGCGCCTTTCTCTGGCTGTGGCGGGCGGGGGTTATGGTGCGGGGAACGGGGTGGGTTCGTTTTAGGAGGGAGACTCCCTTTATTGCACCACTGACCTACTTTCAGCATTCGATAAAGTAGATATACGAAATTTTGGTATAGCTATGAGCTTGTTTTGGTTTCGACAAGTGAAGTTTATGCCACATTTATTTAAAGCATCATTTAATATTAATTGTAATATTTGATTTTGATTTAGAGAGTAACTTTGGTGTAGGTAATATGAAAAAAAGACGTAATTATTATAAGAAACTCATATTATCAGTAAAGTAAATAAGATATTTACTTGTATAAATTAGCATAAAAAATAGACAAAGGATTAGATAATGCGATGGTGCGTACTAATTAGATGGTGCGTACGCGTTTGTTTCCTGTGGGATTATATGAGCTTCATATATTATTCTGTATACATATTTTTTAAATACATTGTATGTAACTAGCACATAAACTATAAAAAGATGGTGACGCGATTTAGACTAGCGCAGAACGACCCTTGAGCTAGCTCATGTCCCTGACTAGTGTAAGCCTGTGTGCTGTCGGAACGCTTACACGTGCCGCCCAGTTGCAATGTGTGCACGGTGCAGTGGTATTGCATCTCCCGCTGTTTGTGTGGGTGTATTCCGATAGGTGTTTGTTTGGGCGAGGGAGCTGGCGACCCAGTTTCTCTAAAAGTAGCTTCAGTCAGAAATCCAGAAACATTTATCTGAACTGCGTAACTGTGGTTTGTTGCTTTTGATATTTGGAAAGTGGGGACCACTTAGATGCACGTGTCGCGAGGGGGAGACCGTGACACACGGAAGAGGATGGAGGGCGAGGTATTGCATGTGCAATAATACAGCAAGCTGGTTGTTTCTAGCTCGTCCCAGTTTCGCCGGCCGGCGGCGGCATGCTCTGAATTTATGGCCATTTATTGACGCCAGCCAACTCGGTGTTTATAAAGCTGCGAATGTTAGATCTTGTTGTTCATTTCGTCGTATATTAATTCGCTGCACTGATGGATACCACTAGAGCGAATTTCAGGTGCTAGGGTTTCGAGTTGCTGCGGTTGTAGCAAGCCGATAAATATCTTATAGTTGGAAAAGCTGAGTGAGAACGAATCGAACAACGGTATTGTTTATACTGTACCTAACGCAACTAACAGTTCACAATATAGAGTTTAGTTCTAGACAAAAAATGCAATAAAGTGTGTAGCTAGCTGTGCATGACGATGCGGTAAAGCAGCTCACCCTAGGCAAGCGCGCAGTCAACATCGGGTAATGTAACTGTTCCTATTCCATTTACGTGAGACTATATACTTTTTACGAAGTAACGCAATTTGTAATGCTTTCGCAAGGCCGATTTTGCTCTTAAAGTCATTAAAGTACTTTACCTTTACGATTCGTTTCAATGGCATTTATTTGTTCACGTTCAATCTTTTACTAGACGAATGGTGACCATTTAATTATATTTGTGAGTACAAAGAACAGCTATGAAACAAAAACAACTAAGTTAACTAGTTGACTTATAGAAAATTTCACAACGGGAACTTCCATCAAGAAAATAATTACCTACTGCGTTCTAAGTTTTTACACAAATGTGTGTTGGGTAAATGTAAATTCTAGCACAATGTTGTAAGGTCGACACTCGAGTAATCCTTCCGTATGTAAAACTAACCGGCACAAAACGCCGCCGGTTTGTTGTTGCGCCGTCTCGCTCTACCGCGAATCGCGAGATGATATTGATTTGTTTTCATTGCGTCTCGTTTTTCCTTGTAAGCGGGCATAAGTCGGTCTCACGAGCGTGACCTTCTCCTTATTTACTTGACGTAGGCAGCGAGATAAGTTGTTTTCCTGTCATCTCGCTCTGGCGGGTGGCAGTGGAATCTACTGTGTGCTGCGTATGCCGGCGTCGTCGTCGCAGCTACTGCTTTCTAGTGTGCGTATCTCATACTGATGACGACAGTCAAGCCTAACATAAAACTGACGTAGACGAGCGTTAACTGACTTTTTGAATTTTTTTATTTATTTAGTGTTTGATCATTAAATCAAATTGAACAGGATAACCACATTAGAAAAGCAATAGGTACATTAAAAATCAGTTAATAGAATCCAAACAGATAAGAAAACCAAACAATGATATATATTTTGATAATATATAAGTATAATTAATAAACAATCCGAAAAATATCAACTGAAATGAAATACCCAATTATAAATCGAATGACAGTTAAGCTCACAAAACAATGCTAGACACTTTTTTGAACAGTAGGTACTATAAGTAGGTACAAGTATGCTGCGGGAAATGTAATGTAATCGATTTTAGGTAAAGAAACACGAATACAATATTGGTAATTAAATTTAATTTTCACGTGTTTATGCAGTAGTCTCTACACTAAATGCTAACTTTAGCTAATCCAGGAACTGTACTATCGCTCGTCTGCGAAGTCACACTCACACACGCAAGATAAATTACATCGCACTACTTTGCCGTTACAATAGATTTTTACACGATAGGCCTGTTGCTCAGTTGCTAAGGCCTTTTCATTCGGTGTTATGATAAGTTATGATAATGGGATAAGCATACTGAATTTAAATCGCAATATCTTTATAACATTAATGACGCATTTTGGAAAGGTTGCCAGATGATAATATTTTAGTCATGACGGTATTATGTCATCATTAAAGATCTTCCTCTTGTTTTGGACAAGAATTTAATATACTTGCAATTCGTTTTTATATATGTATATTCGTTTTCAAACATTTCTAACACAGAACGCCAGTTACTGTAACTAACTTATCAAGTCTACTCCTATTCCAAACAAAGAAATGTTTCGAGTTTATTCATTGGGGGTTTTTTTAAATTAT